ATGACTTTCGAGGGGACTGATGCAAGACCTCTACATCTGTAGGCTACTGACGGAGGCTCTGCCTTGGGGCTGTTTACACTTAAGGAGTATACCATGAACCCCAACAATTCATGGAATTGCCGGGGTTCATGGAATTGCCGGGGAAAGCTCAAGTTTACGGAGAAAGTCGGAAATGCTTCGAGGCTGTAGAGTAGGTCACGCGCATGCATCGCCAGTCTTGAAACTATAGGAAAATGATTATTTAATACCAAATGGCTTAGAGATTTGGAAAGAATAACAATAATTTGCGAGGATAATTCCTTTCGAGGGTAGGAGTGAGGGTAGCATGTTAGAGAGATGACAGAGAGGAGAGCCCCAGCACTCCCTGCGTGGCTTGCCTCACCACAGATCACGTCACCCTCACCACGCTAAAAATAAACGTGGTGTAATGCCGCTTCCGGTAGAGGTGTTTGTCACACAGTAGTGTGGACGAGATGCAAGGCTTCACTTTGTAAGCAGATTTACATTTTATTTGTCTTTATTTAATAATATACAATATTAATATCATAGTGACATCAATTTACGAGGGGAAAATACTACATTTTATATAGGGCTATATAATTATCAGTAAACAATCAGATTTAATTAGTAGCAAAAAGCTGTTATGATAATATTGATGTCAGTTACACTATAACGGGAACAAAAATAATAATGTCAATAATTTTAGAGAAATTTATTTTATACGTAGACACAACTATATTCAAACAAGAAATATTAATTTTGTCCTGAAGACTGAATTTATTGGATAGCGTCACTTACCTGATGAGTGAACACACTGTGATAGCAACATGCTCAGCATTCCTTAACAGGAAGAAACCCCGCTGGGTTGTCCATCCCGGCACCTGTGCCCAGACCCAGCTGGGAGTTAATACTTAGTCCCACTTAACCTTTAATAGTATTTGTTCCCTATTACTTGTATGGGTTCTCTTTTGCCTACTTTTGAATAAATATACCATATATGGAGCCTTGCTTACCACACCTGTCCCCCAAAGATTAAGTGCACCTTGACTATATTACGCATACTGATGAAGTTCGTGTTCGATCGAGTTCCATAGCTTCCTGTTCTCATGACACATTAAAAGTATTATACTGTAGTAATATTGTAAGTAGGCCTACAGATGTACAAAACTGCTCAATGCATTTTATATGTGTTAGTGTAAGGTTGCGAGGAGAGATTATTGAGTTAGAATAGGTTACATCTAATTACACTGAACAACTAAAGTACTAGAGATAAACTCTTAATTTAATATTTTAATTCTATGTTCGTACAAATTTAAAATTTGGCTTGTTGAAGAACAATGGTGGTTTTGCACATATCAAATTTCTAAGAATGAAGCCTCTTTATGAAAGCTAAAGGATTGTGAAATAAGAACAATTTGTACTAAAATTGTATCTAGAATTATTTGTTAATTACTTTTTTTTGAATGTATCAAAGTTGTGTAATTAGCTTTTACCTGTCTCCTCGTTTTGATCCAACCAAACCCACGTTGTAACAAGAAGGATAGGCGTGTCTGTCAGTAGACTGAGAAATCACACCTATTGTTGCTAACAGTGGTCAGGTCACGTCAGGTCAAGAGCAAAGGATATAATGATGTCATATATGTCGCGGTGTTAAGAATCTGATTGATATTATCACTCAAGATTAAAAGGTACTGCCGGGGAAACATAGTTAGGATCTCATTAAGTAACTCAATAACTATTGTCTTTTAAATTTCACCTCTTTTGTGTTAATCATACTCGACAAACATACTTTTGGGCTGACCTTCAGCGTTATACACAAGTCCCTTGTCCTCCTGTGTCCTTAATTGGTATTATTCCTCCCCGAGTGAGCTGAGGGGATGTTTGAAGAGAGGACAGGATAGAGGAAAGACAGGAGAGGGGAGAGAGGTGGAGAGGGTTCTGTGAGAGAGGATGAAGAGGGGTGAGTGGAGGGAGACGGGAAAAAGAGGGAGAAGGAAAGAGAGATGAGCAGTGGTGAGAGAGAGGCCTGGGAGCAACCGAAGGTAGCCCCCCTTAGTAGTATATGTATATATATTTATATATTTTTGTTCATTTATTTATTTATGTACAATTTACATGTCTGCATCATGTGCAAGTTTTGTACTTTTGTGGATATCGTAGACATTGAGACCAGCCTATATTTCTTCAAATATTATTATGTATAAACTTTTGAACTTTATGCTGTCAAAATAGAGGGACTTGCATGATAAAGTGGCTAGAGTCCAGCAACCGTTGACAACATATCCTGGTAAGAGCATGCATGGCACGGTACTACACAGCCTCACCTTCAACACATACGGAGTGGATCGAGGCGTGTATATGTTATCCCACCTGCACTCAAATTACAAGAGCGACCTTCCCTTAGTTACCTACAATGATGAGAGCGACCTTTAAAACTCTCCGCTGTGACAAATAGTTGACGTAGGAAACTTTTTAGGCAACTATAATAATTTAGAATGATTGCTTAATAATATTCCAATTGTAAACTATGTGAATAAGAGCTGGGACATACTCTCCAACACTATATCTGTGATTGCCCTGTTATCAGTGACCAGATCAAATGGTATGAAGTACTTTGAGCTCTGTAATTACTTCATACACTCAGGAATATTGGAAGATTTTCTTGTGCTGTACCCAGATTTTGATAGTGGAGGCTAATAGATCAGCCTTATATATCATGATCTCTCCTGATTACATGTATGACTAACCATCCTGTGAGATGGGAATATTCGATGAACTTATAGCTAGTTATTTATTTACACTGTGTAATCTTTCATACAGAATAGGGTAGTAGCACATGCTTGCTCTGTATACCTAAGGTTGCCAAAAAAATAAGACATTAGGCACTGTTCCTAATATACCTGGGAAGTATAGGTCGACTCAGTCATGTGTCTGTAAATGACTAGGTTATATATGAGAACTTTATACTTATGGAATATACAGGAATGGACCAACATAATGAACAGCGTAGTTAGGACAACTTGCTTAACAAGCCGAGGTTTCTTAATATCATATATTTTTCATATTACACGCATTATATATATATATATATATATATATATATATATATATATATATATATATATATATATATATATATATATATATATATATATATATATATATATATATAATGAGCTTGCGGGGGTGGAGCTTCGGCTCTTAGGATCCGCCTCTCAACAGTCAATCAACCTGTATACAGATTACTGAGCCAATTGGGCTCTATCATATCTATATGTGAAACTGTGTATGGAGTCAGCCTCCACCACATCACTGCCTAATGCATTCCATTTGTTAACTACTCTGACACTAAAAAAGTTCTTTCTAATATATCTATGGCTCATCTGGGTACTCTGTTTCCACCTGTGTCCTCTAGTGCGTGTGCCCCCGGTGTTAAATAAGCTGGCATTACCTACCCTATCAATTTCTCTGAGAATCTTGTATGTGGTGATCATGTCTCCCCTAACTCTTCCCTCTTCCAGCCACGAGAGGTTTAGTTCCCATAGTTTATCCTCGTAGCACATACCCCTCAGCTCAGGTAAAAGTCTGGTGGCATACCTCTGAACCTTTTCCAATTTAATTTTGTGTTTGACGAGATACTGACTCCATGCTGGAGTTGCATACTACAGGTCTGGTCTGACATATGTGATATACAATGTTCTGAATGATTCCCTACACAAGTTTCTAATGGCCGTTCTTATGTTAGCCAACCTGGTATATGCCGCTGATGATATCATCTTGTATATGTGTGTGTGTGTGTAATTACCTAAGTGTAGTTACAGGATGAGGGCTACGCTCGTGGTGTCCCGTCTTCCCAGCACTCTTTGTCATATAACGCTTTGAAACTACTGACGGTCTTGGCCTCCACCACCTTCTCACCTAACTTGTTCCAACCGTCTACCACTCTGTTTTCGAAAGTGAATTTTCTTATATTTCTTCGGCATCTGTGTTTAGCTAGTTTAAATCTATGACCTCTTGTTCTTAAAGTTCCAGGTCTCAGGAAATCTCCCCTATCGATTTTATCAATTCCTGTTACTATTTTGTATGTAGTGATCATATCACCTCTTTTTCTTCTGTGTGTGTGTGTGTGTGTGTAGGTATATGTGTATATATGTATATATGTGTGTATTTGTATACAGGGTATATGGAAGCTGGTCAGAATTGCATTTCACTTTCCTAAACGCACATTAATGACATTATGTAAAAAGACACCTTGATCACTGTTTATGTAGAACAGACGTAAATCTGTGTTTTTATGTTTGTAGGTTAGCTTAGCATTTTAAAATCACTACAATCATCTTCTGTGGTAAATTGTTCAATAAATCAATGACTTATATGTTTATCAGATCTCTAAGCCTATCCATGGAGGATAGAAGAAACTGTATATATGCTGGTTGGCATTGTAAATGCGTGGCCACGTCTGTGGTAGAAAATAATAATAAAAAAGTATTCAGTAAAAGTAAAAACGTAATCTGCTGGTGTACAGATTCTCGAGCCCATTGGGCTCTATGTGTGTGTATATACACACACAAAGAGTCATGTATATACCAAATTAAATACGTACTTTAGTATGACAGGAAAGGAAGTATATTACGAGAATAGGAAAGATATTTGACGAGCCTGTAAGTACGGTGGATCACAAAATTATGACGCAAAGCACACATAGGCTAACACAGCAGCATACCAAAAGCTGGTAAATGTAAGACCAGCCGTATATCCCCCTAAGAGGGGGGGTGTGGAGGCATGAGGAATGATAATGGAACTTTTTGAATTTGACTCCACCACCTGCGTTCCCATAATGTATTCAACTGCCATTTTGTATGAGCATATTTATAAAAAATATTACTATCCACCATATTAAAGTACATATAACATTGTTAGTTAATGTGACTGAGTGAGGTGGTTGTAGGTATAATATACTTGTGTTGAGTGAAGGGTGTGGGAGCCGGCCAGACCTGCGCACTCCCGGGGGCCGGGTTCTGCGCACGTCACGTGACCCGAGCTTATAAATACGCGTGCAACGTGGCGCCATCATCCAATTGCGGGAACACCCAAGCTGCTCCTGTGAGACGGACCGAGTCCTCGTGTCTTCCTACCAAATCCCTTCAAAATGGTGAGTTTAGAGATCAATATTTACGTTAGGAGCAGCCAGTGGAGGAGGAGGAGGCGTGTGTGGCGGGGCGGGCGGTGTTTACGGTGATGAGAGCAACAGGTGGGTGTGGCGGGCCGGGGTGTCGGCCTCCTGGGTTGACGGGGGTGCTGTGGGGGCTGTACATGGGCCGGTGTGTTGGTGAGGTTTGGAGTAAAGTTTGTGGCGGCCCACAGTTGTAGCACCCCAGGTTTGTCCTCCCTGGTGTGGCGCCCCCCTAGTGTGGCCTCCCTGGCCGGCCGCACCATGATGGTCGCCGGCGGCCCTTGACGGGCTTCTCTCCTGCCTGAATTGCGCGTCTCCCGCCTCTTGCTCCGTCACCCTCACGATGCTCCAAGCCCGGAGATGGTGAGGCTTTAGGCTTTAACAAAACTTGGTTTCCTGGGAGGCTGTAGTCACGTCTGAGGTGAAAGTTGAGAGCATGAGACAAAATGGCTGCGTGGTGAGGTGAGGGCCGGTCATGCTTGGCGGGGCTGTAGCCAGACTAATGCGGAGCGGTGATAAGCTTCACTGCCACACCCTTCTTCACGTTAGCTAATTGTTGTTGATTTACTCAAATTCAAGGTTAAGAGTTTTTGTTATTGCATGGTGGGGTAGGGTTGGGGAGTTATGGTAACGGGCAGGGAATGGTGGCGTGCTGCTCCCCGAGCCCCGGCACGTCTTGCCACCCAGCATCCCTCTACTGTGGTGCCTCTTGCCTGAGTCATGAGTAACCACCATGATGGCAGGAGATCTTAAGATGGATGGAGATGGGGAGGAAGAGATAGGGATGGATGAATGGGGAGGAAGAGATAGGGATGGGTGAATGGGGAGGAAGAGATAGGGATGGATGAATGGGGAGGGAGAGATAGGGATGGATGAATGGAGAGGGAGAGATAGGGATGGATGAATGGAGAGGGAGAGATAGGGATGGATGAATGGAGAGGGAGAGATAGGGATGGATGAATGGAGAGGGAGAGATAGGGATGGATGAATGGAGAGGGAGAGATAGGGATGGATGAATGGAGAGGGAGAGATAGGGATGGATGAATGGAGAGGGAGAGATAGGGATGGATGAATGGAGAGGGAGAGATAGGGATGGATGAATGGAGAGGGAGAGATAGGGATGGATGAATGGAGAGGGAGAGATAGGGATGGATGAATGGAGAGGGAGAGATAGGGATGGATGAATGGAGAGGGAGAGATTGGGATGGATGAATGGAGAGGGAGAGATAGGGATGGATGAATGGAGAGGGAGAGATAGGGATGGATGAATGGAGAGGGAGAGATAGGGATGGATGAATGGAGAGGGAGAGATACGGATGGATGAATGGAGAGGGAGAGATAGGGATGGATGAATGGGGAGGGAGAGATAGGGATGGATGAATGGGGAGGGAGAGATAGGGATGGATGAATGGAGAGGGAGAGATAGGGATGGATGAATGGGGAGGGAGAGATAGGGATGGATGAATGGAGAGGGAGAGATAGGGATGGATGAATGGAGAGGGAGAGATAGGGATGGATGAATGGAGAGGGAGAGATAGGGATGGATGAATGGGGAGGAAGAGATAGGGATGGATGAATGGGGAGGGAGAGATAGGGATGGATGAATGGGGAGGGAGAGATAGGGATGGATGAATGGAGAGGGAGAGATAGGGATGGATGGATGATGGGGAGGGAGAGATAGGGATGGATGATGGGGAGGGAGGGATAGGGATGGATGATGGGGAGGGAGGGATAGGGATGGATGAATGGAGAGGGAGAGATAGGGATGAGTGGATGATGGGGAGGGAGAGATAGGGATGAGTGGATGATGGGGAGGGAGAGATAGGGATGGATGGATGATGGGGAGGGAGAGATAGGGATGGATGGATGATGGGGAGGGAGAGATAGGGATGGATGGATGATGGGGAGGGAGAGATAGGGATGGATGGATGATGGGGAGGGAGAGATAGGGATGGATGGATGATGGGGAGGGAGGGATAGGGATGGATGATGGGGAGGGAGGGATAGGGATGGATGATGGGGAGGGAGGGATAGGGATGGATGATGGGGAGGGATGGATGATGAGGAAGGAGGGATAGGGATGGATGATGGGGAGGGAGGGATAGGGATGGATGATGGGGAGGGAGGGATAGGGATGGATGATGGGGAGGGAGGGATCTTGAGGTTATCTCGATTTCTGGGCTTAGCGTCCCTGCGGCCCGGTCCTCAACCAGGCCTCCTTTTTGTTACACACCCCCAGAAAGCAGTCCGTAGCAGCTGTCTTAACTCCTAGGTACCTATTTACTAATAAATGGGGAGGAGGGAGATATAGGTGGATGTATGGGGAGGGAGGGAATTAATAGAGAAAAGCGCCTAGCCATTACGACTATAGCACTTGAAAGGGGTTAGGATAGGGATTTGCCCAACCACTTGGACTGTCTGGGATTCAACACCAGTCTAGCCCAAGTCAGAGATGGGGGAGGTGAGGTGGTAATATTAAAGATCGGCATAAAGCCAAAGTTGGTTGTCTAAGTGTAATTTTTATAGTAATAGAACTTTTTTCTACATTGATGAATCTCATAAATGTGCATTTTGAGTAAAAACTAAAAATTTAGTACAATAAAAATGAAAACTGGACATGACATGCCAGTCATTACATTGAGCCTTTTCCTATTAATGTATAAGTCGAGTACTGGAATTGTGGAGGGCTGCAACTTAGAGGTACAGATTTATAAGAGGGTAGACCACTTGCATCAACCTATTCACCATCTAGTATTAAATTTTATTAAAACAAAATTAATATATTGTGCATTCAAAACCCATTGTAAACAGTTTAGCAGGTTAGTTTTCCTGACACTAAAATATCCATTAAAATTATTGAAAAATAGATGGGGGAATGTCTTAAAAATTAATATTGAAAATTTTCCCCCTCCCCTCTTTTCAAATCTAAAATTGGTTAGAGGAATCCAGTGGGTGGATGTAGTTGCTGCTTCGATCCATTATGTAGAAGCCTGGATTTTAAAGTTTACATTGTGTATGGTATTCTGCAAATTTGGATCACGGTTACGGATTTTTGGAGAGAACATTTGAATAGATCTTAACACTTTCGCGCTCTCCGCAAAGGTCTCTCAGCCAACCGAATGTGCGCGCTGCGTTTTTATCGCTTAAGCGTAAAAACAAAAATGTGTATACTCTTTTTACTCTTCTGATCTTAGTTCTCATGCTACGTATTTCATTTTGGTACCAACGTGTTCGCAATAAAATTCTCTAGAAGAACATTAGTAAAATAAGTCACGAAACATATAGGGATACCAGCACCAAATAAATAACTACGTAGATGACTCGCCGTGAGCGCCCATCAGCAACAAAATGTTTTTACTCTTGGGATTGTAATCACCTCCACGCTTGTTCTACAGCGTTAATTTTGGTATCAATGGACTCACAATGAAATTCCCAACACGGTGATATGAATATAAGCGTAGAATAATGATGCAGCCCGCCCGCAAGAGTGTGGGAAGTGGCGAAATTGTTACTCGGTATCGGTGACGGGACGACGCACGGCGCTTTGAAAGTTTATACTTATTTCACTCTCATGACATTAATTTTCTATATACGTCATTCATTTTTATGTCAATGTGTTCGCAATAGAATGTTCTATGTGCCCATAGGTAAAAAATATCAACAAAGCGTAAGTTAGAATAGCGACAAACATAAAACAACGCTGGAACATATCAGTGAGCGTCAAACACACACGAAATATTTTTACTTTTGTTATGTTTGTCAAGATTATACTTGTTGCACAGTTATTTTTGGTTGTATATTGATCGGAATAAAATTCCCTAAACAGACATATGCATATAATACATGATATGGGGGAAGAATTACCAGTATAAACGGCTAAAGTCACCCACCTGCAACCCGTTTGGGACAAAATACCATTTGATCGAAGTTATCCACACCTTTCATGAACTTATTGTACCATGCAGCCTAGTGGTGAGAAAGAGAGCCTCATAGCGCGCAGTTTGAAACAAACCCAAAGTAAATCGGATAAAAATTGAATTTTATACAAATATTTTAAAAGTAGACATAACTTTATGTCCACTATGCGTTTACGTTAGACGAAACCGAACGCGCCGGCGCGTCCAGATAGCGCGAAAGTGTTAATTTAGTTGTCACTCATAGCTGATCAAATGTCCCCAAGGGTAGCCAACTTTACATGTTCAGAACTGGAATGACTCGTACAGGTTTTTGAGCTTGTTTGATTGTGGCCCCCATGCACCTAATTTGATTCGATGAATCAAAAGCTTAAATTAGGAAAGTGACTTGAATGCAATACTCTACTGCAATATTAAATTTCTTACTGAATGGGGTTTATTAAATGGTTGTGTGGTCCACTGAAATTTATGCAACTAAATATATGAAAATAATGACAAAGGGGATTTAATTGAACATTTGCCTTTAAAGATAAAAAGTTGGCTAGATCAAGGTTCTTTTCTATAATCGTGATTTGTTTTCAGCGTGAGTGCATCTCCATCCATGTGGGCCAGGCTGGTGTCCAGATGGGCAATGCTTGCTGGGAGCTTTATTGCCTAGAACATGGTATCCAGCCTGATGGCCAGATGCCCTCTGACAAGACCATTGGGGTTGGTGATGATTCATTTAATACCTTCTTCAGTGAGACTGGATCTGGAAAACATGTCCCAAGAGCAGTGTTTGTTGATCTTGAACCATCGGTTGTTGGTAAGTAAACTTTATTGTTTAAGCAAAGATGTAGCATATGATACACTAAATTATTTGAAACCATTATGAAGACAAAGCAAAAGTATGATTGTACATGTCCTCCGAATTGATTTTTCTTTTTTAACTTGGCAAGTGTTGAATTGTAATACAGTATCTTGCATTTTTCAGATGAAGTACGCACCGGAGTATATCGCCAGCTTTTCCATCCAGAGCAGCTTATCACAGGAAAGGAAGATGCCGCTAATAATTATGCTCGTGGACATTACACCATTGGCAAAGAAATTGTTGACGTGGTTCTTGATCGGATCCGTAAACTAGCAGACCAGTGCACTGGACTCCAGGTTGGTATTGGCTAGTAGAGTACTGTAATAAACGTCAATCATTGAATTAAAAAAAACTTGTTTGACAAATGGGTTATAAGTCTAGAATTAAAATTACATTTATTTTTCATAACCTAAAAAACACTTAATACAGAAAGTTCAAGGCAGCACACTTGAAGATTTTTAGTGGGAGAATATAGTTGTCTAGTCAGACTGGTTTTGAGCTTCAAAGTCTAAAACTTTTGTTTCAGGTGAACTTTAGTACTGTACTATCCATTGTTGACATGGTTAGCACTGTCTCTAAAGGGAAGGGTCTGGCTGCACCTGGTGTTTTCTAAAATAGATTTGTCGTATCTACTAGACGTTGTGGTTTCAGTGACTAATTTGGGAACAATAAGAAACTCGCACAATAGTACCTGTGATGGAATTAATACAGTAAAATTAGTTTAATGTTGGGGGGTGAGTTGGGCAGTGCTATTTGGATTGGTCTGCAGAATGGTGCTGATCAGTTTTTTAAATAATGAAATGGTGTAATTTAAATGCGTACTCAATAGTTTCAGGTAGATATTATAGTTTTTAGGATTTTGCCTATTAATTTGATAATTTTATTAGTTATAGTTGTAACTAAGTCTTAAACCATTCTTGTACCATACTACTTGAAAAAAACTTAATCTTTAATGAACAGTAATTAAATAATTTTTTGTTAGACTGTAATGTAATTATTTGTTAGACTGTAATGTCTGTTTAGTTAAAGTGAGTGGCACTTAACACTTTCGCGCTTTCCGCAAAGGTCACTCAGCCAACCGAATGTGCGCGCAGCGTTTTTATCGCTTAAGCGTAAAAACAAAAATGTGTATACTCTTTTTACTCTTCTGACCTTAGTTCTCATGCTACGTATTTCATTTTGGTACCAACGTGTTCGCAATAAAATTCTCTAGAAGAACATCAGTAAAAAAAGTCACGAAACGTATAGGGATACCAGCACCAAATAAATAACTACGAAGATGACTCGCCGTGAGCGCCCATCAGCAACAAAATGTTTTTACTCTTGGGATTGTAATCACCTCCACACTTATTCTACAGCGTTAATTTTGGTATCAATGGACTCGCAATGAAATTCCCAACACGGTGATATGAATATAAGCGTAGAATAATGATGCGGCCCGCCCGCAAGAGTGTGGGAAGTGGTGAAATTGTTACCCGGTATCGGTGACGGGACGACGCACGGCGCTTTGAAAGTTTATACTTATTTCACTCTCATGACATTAATTTTCTATGTACGTCATTCATTTTTGTGTCAATGTGTTCGCAATAGAATGTTCTATGTGCCCATAGGTAAAAAATATCAACAAAGCGTAAGTTAGAATAGCGCCAAATATAAAACAACGCTGGAACATATCAGTGAGCGTCAAACACACACGAAATGTTTTTACTTTTGTTATGTTTGTCAAGTTTATACTTGTTGCACACAGTTATTTTTGGTTGTATATTGATCGGAATAAAATTCCCTAAACACATATGCATATAATACATGATATGGGGGAAGCATTACCAGTATAAACGGCTAAAGTCACCCACCTGCAACCCGTTTGGGACAAAATACCATTTGATCGAAGTTATCCACACCTTTCATGAACTTATTGTACCATGCAGCCTAGTGGTGAGAAAGAGAGCCTCATAGCGCGCAGTTTGAAACAAACCCAAAGTAAATCGGATAAAAATTGAATTTTATACAAATATTTTAAAAGAGGACTCAACTTTATGTCCACTATGCGTTAGCGTTAGACGAAACGGGACGCGCCGGCGCGTCCAGATAGCGCGAAAGTGTTAATTGCTTTGGTTCCTGGCATGTTTACGGGGGTGGGGGGAAGGAGTATCCCATTGCTGCATGCAGTTTGAAAAGACTTGACTAGTATGTATTAGCCGCTAAATATTTATATAATTCCCCTGAATTTACCAGCAGAGCCACCAGTTCTAGTGGCCTTGCTAGGGCCCAGGAAATGGGCAGCTTACTAAAGAAACCCCTCCCCCTCGTTATTGCATATTTTTCCAGCTAGGCGTTTCCGGGGTTTATTACTGAATGGATAGGAAAAAAGCATTTGGTTTTTAGTCCAACATGGTGGCTCCAGTGAGCTCAAGGCCATATTCACTAGTTACAACCTTGAAACTGCCAGTATACCTCGAGACAGTGAGCAGTGGTGCTCCTGTTGTCTGCAGAAAATTTAATGTATCTTGTAATATTCTAAATGCCTAAAACATTCTGTGGGTATTATCACTAGACATCTGACAATCATTTACCGTATTAGAAAAGTTGTAACATGTTTGGCTGCTCTCCTGGACATTAATACAAAAATTGGTAGCATGTTGGCTAAGGACCATTGGTGAATTTTATTACAGTTTGAGATGATCATCGATGTCTAGTTGTAGTGTTTTGGGTCCTTACGTGCAACAGTTTATTAGTTGACTGACTTCTGGTATATTTTCTGCTTTACATTTCTCCACAGCAACTGTCCTTTTTGAAGGTGGTCTGTGTGTTTATAGTAGTAGTGCAGATGTGGCTGCACTTGACGTGTACAGCTGAATGACGGCTTCTCTTCTCCTTAGTCAGATTTTTTTTATTCATTAAATTTGGATTTGATAAAAAAAAATCTGTACCTGTGTATTTTTTATCTTATCAGGCCTATAAAGTTTGTCATGCTTCCAACAGTGGTGTTGCCAATACACAGTTCCACTTCTCCGAGTATTCAATACATTTGGGCTTTCCTGTCCTTATCATTTATGATAAGGAAATGTTCAAGGACTGTCCTTGAACATTTAATTCTCTATGAATAAATAGTACATTTGGAAGTCACTCAATGGTGGTCTAGTTTGACCTTAACTTGCTTTAAATGCAATGTATCAGTAACTGGTGTCTAAACATTGCTTCTGGCAGCTACTTGATCTTCACTAGTTTTGTTTTGATCATGTGCGGTTTTTCTTTATATTTAGCTTAGGAAGATCCTTGACTGGTCCTGTAAGTATTGTGGCTAGCTTCTTGTTACTCTAGTTTTAAATGGTGTTGGACATGGTTGTCATGCTGTCTGATAACAAATTGTAGCTCTTGTATGTTTTCAAGCACTTCGGCGCTTCACTGCCTAATGTCTGATATAAAAATTTTGAATTCAAAATTTATTCAAATCATTTCCCCTAAATCATTGAGTGATTTAATTAAGGGAAACTGTGATAATGGTTTCCTAGTGTTGGTTTTGGGGCTTAGCGTCCCAGTGGCCCGGTCCCAGATCATTTTGTTGCTGGACTGGTCAACCAGGCTGTTGGATGTGGTTGCCCGCAGCCTGGCGTATGAGTCACAGCCTGGTTGATAGGTATAATTTGGAGGTGTTCACGAGTTCTCTCAAACACTGTGAGGGGTCAGCCAATTATGTCCCTTGTGCATAGTGGAAGCAAGTTGAACAGTCTCGGGCCTCTGATGTTTGTAATTCTCTCAGGATACCTATTGCACCTCTGCTTTTCAGCAGGCACATCCTACCATGCCTCCTGTGTGTACAGGTTTGGGACCAGCTCCTCTTATTATTTTCCATGTGTAAATTATTGTCTCCCCCAGCCTGTACTCAAGAGAATACAGATTTGGCCATTTTAGTCGGTCATAATAGTTTAGATGTTTTACCGGGTGAATTCTAACAGGATCTCTGTACGCTCTCCAGGTCAGCAATTTCTCCAACTTTAAAAGGGGCTGTCATTGTGCAACAATATTCTACTCTTAGAGAGCACTAGCATCTCTAATCTGTATCATCATTGGTATAGCATCTTTAATTTGAAAAGTGTGTATTATCCAACCTCTCATTTTTCTTGCAGTTGTGAAGGCTACTTTGTGTTCCTTAAGGGTAAATGGACTCATTATTGTTTATGAAGTACTGTGTAAATTACTTGAGGTAGGAGTTTGTATCCATTTCCCTGCCTATAATGTGTAATTTGGTACAGCATCTTGACAAAACTTTTCTGTAGCACTTGGTCAGCACTTAATGGTTTCCATTCTTGTGTACGTGGAAAAAGTAATTGGCAAGTAGTGTGACAATCTTCATAAGGAATATTTTGGATTGTCCCTAAAATGAACTTGACAAGTGGTGTATGAATGTTAGGTAATTAAGTTATGGCTGAAACTAACTACAGTAGTTTTGGGTAAAATGAAAGCTAATGACATGCTGCACAAATGTGCATTATATTTGTTATTTTGGTTAGGAAATTTAAATTTACAGGATTTGGCTCGATGGGTTATCTGCATTGTGATCTTGTATATTTTAATTTATTTATACTGTATATTTATTTATATATTTTGCAAATTTTCAACAGTTAAGATTTTAATTAACACAATGTTCCATTTCAGGGCTTCCTAATCTTCCATTCGTTTGGTGGTGGTACTGGTTCAGGTTTCACCTCACTGTTGATGGAACGCCTGTCTGTAGACTATGGCAAGAAGAGCAAGCTTGAATTTGCCATATACCCAGCACCCCAAGTAAGTTTTTGTTCTTTAAAATACAGTAAATCAAGTATCCTCGTATGGGGGCGTTGGTCTCCCAAGTTGAGATGGCTGGAAAATGTGTTTTGGTATCGACTCCATCCTGTGTTGGTACTGGACTGGAATGATCAGTGTTATTGGGCCATGTGTCCCACATAAGGCAGATATTAAAGCCCAACCTCCTGTTTACATAGTATTAGGCTAACAATGTAGACATTGACTTTAAAAGGCAATTTGTTCTAGAATGTGCCAAGCCATTATGACTATAGCACTTTGAATTAATAAAGATTTGGGATGGGATGGGGAGAAAAAGCAATTGCTGAAGCATAAATTGTTTAATTTGGTTATAAACAAATTTTCTATACCTTGGCATAAGAAAATAAATACTTCCTACCAGGGACAAAAAAGTTAACATGGTGAATTAGTATTGTATATGAGGTGGAGAAAAGGATGTGTGCGTGAATAAGAGATAGAATAGAATTAAATCTCGAAAAGTCTCCATATTTTGAGTATGAGGTCTCATTATATTGCAGATTAGTCAGGTTCTAGTCTTTTTAAGACATGGTTCACTTTTTTTAGCTGCAATAATTTCTTTGGGCAATTTTTAAGATTTGTTGGCAAATCAACAAATAAGTTTCTTGGTTAGGGAAATTTAATGGGTAAGGTGTTAAGTATAACTAGTCTGGTATACCATGAAGTTATATTGCAGCTTCTAGGTTTTAGTTTTATACTTTTCAGCCATTAGTGAAGGCAGTATATATTGTTTAGTACTTTCATGCCACCATTTGAGTATCAACATATATTGTGCATATAAAGGTTCTGATGTTTTCTTTTTTTCCTCCCCATAGGTTGCTACTGCTGTTGTTGAACCTTACAACTCCATCCTGACAACCCACACAACTCTAGAACACTCCGATTGTGCTTTTATGGTAGATAATGAAGCCATTTATGATATTTGTCGCAGGAACTTGGATATTGAACGTCCTTCGTATACAAACCTGAACCGTCTTATTGGTCAGATTGTGTCTTCCATTACGGCTTCCCTCCGATTTGATGGTGCCTTGAATGTTGATTTGACTGAATTCCAGACAAATTTAGTGCCTTATCCAAGAATTCACTTCCCTCTTGTAACTTATGCTCCTGTTATTTCTGCGGAGAAGGCATACCATGAGCAGCTTTCTGTGGCAGAAATCACCAATGCCTGCTTTGAACCGGCTAACCAGATGGTAAAGTGTGATCCTCGACATGGAAAGTACATGGCCTGCTGTCTCTTGTACAGGGGTGATGTTGTGCCCAAAGATGTTAATGCTGCCATTGCCTCAATTAAGACAAAACGAACCATCCAGTTTGTTGACTGGTGTCCCACAGGTTTCAAGGTTGGCATTAATTACCAGCCACCAACGGTCGTTCCAGGAGCTGACTTAGCAAAGGTGTCACGTGCTGTGTGCATGTTGTCCAACACCACAGCTATTGCAGAGGCATGGGCTCGTCTTGACCACAAGTTTGACTTGATGTATGCCAAGCGTGCCTTTGTTCACTGGTACGTGGGAGAGGGCATGGAAGAGGGAGAGTTCACTGAAGCCCGTGAAGACTTGGCAGCACTGGAGAAGGATTATGAGGAAGTGGGCATGGACTCTGCTGACGGTGAAGATGTTGAAGATGGAGATGAATATTAAAGGAAAATTTATTCTCATTTACATACCGCAGTATTAGGTTTCTACTACACTTTCAGATACTGGAGCTTCACATTCCTGAATAGCCATACAAATACTTTCAGCCATACATTGATTATTTTTCTATGAACAAATAATTCTAAAGTTCAAATTTTTCATTTATTAAATTCTTTAATTTGATGTGATTAGTTTACTATCCTTTGACAACCTGAATGGTGATTGGACAGAATGTTTAGTCTGAAAAGAAGGAACTAGTAAGTTTTGACATTGCACGTATATAACAGTGATTAGCAATTTGGTAGAGAAAGTACAGAGTTGATCACTGGCAAAACTTAGTAAACTGTGAATACGTTAGTGGGGCTAATACGCAATTGTGTAATGTGTACCTAAAGCTTTTTGACATATCCACTAAAAAGGCAAACCAATTGCGTTATTTGGTATAGTTTATTAATTTTTTTTAATTATCCGTCCACATTAACGATGTGATGAAGAATGACTGATTAATCAAATTAGAATCTACCTCTAGCCAACCTCCAATCGCTGCCTGTCTGTAGAACAACGGTGTTCATGCAAGGTGGTGTTCAATCTCCGACCGTCCAAGTGGTTGGGCACCATGTTTTTCCCCCGTTCCATCCCAAATATTTATCCTACCCCCCTTCAAAGTGATAGTCGTAATGGCTTGGTCCTTTCCCTTGATAATTGCAGACAAAAATTATCACCCATCGTCATTTCTTAGAGGTGTAAATAGTTGCATCCTGGTAACGATAAATTTCATTTTTTCCATTGGCGAATGTCACCGACTATGAGAATAGTATTATTTTTTAATGTAGGTAAAGATTTTTTTTTTTTTATTGGTATTATTCCTCTAGTGAGGCTTGCAATCTGATGGTATTGGAAGGCATAGAAAGTACAGAAGTTAATATTTTTTTTAGTTGAATAACGTCTTGACAACGCATTATGCCTCACACGGGCCTGACAGCTGAGTGGACAGCGCTCAACATGCGTGGACATAAGTAGGTATGTTTGCGGGTTCGGTCCCCCAGTGGAGGCGGATATAAATGAGCAGTTTTTCGCCCTGATACCTGTCCACCTAGCAGTAAATAGGTACCTGGGAGTATGACGGCTGTTATCCTGATGGGATAACAAAGAGGAGGACCGGGCCGCGGGGACTTAAGGGACCAGATTAGTTTATTAAAAGTTGTTCAATGTCAACCAATATTTTTTGACTAGTTGTATATGAAAAGGGCTGCAATTGTTCAAAGTTTCAGTACTGCAGCCTAAATAGAAAAGAGGATTTTTTTTTTTTTTTATATATATATAAAGAATATTGCATTTTCAAGTGTGTGTATACAACCACACGTTTCAGATATAACCATTCTGACACATCATATAATAAAGGATCTGTAGTTTCCAAAACCAGTTTAGTTTTCCTAATACAAAGTCAAAGTCCCCCCAAAAAAAAAAAAATATACAAATGTAACTTTTATTGCTATTATAAAATCAATAAATGAACTTAAGAAAAAATGCTTTTTACAGATTTGTAGAGACACTTTACATATAAGTTTTATATAAATTGAATAAAAAATTAGTTATATGAACGTTTGTTACTTGAAATAAATAAGTCAAATACAGTCTAAGGTGCTGCAATCTGTGGCTGAGGTTGACATCAACCAATTTCCTGGCCCCCTTGGCATCCTTACAGATAGGCTTACGTGCCGTCAGGTGTATAAGTTGTATGCAAATCATCCGATAAACAAATAAAAATTGAAAAAAAATCGATTATATATTTTTAACTTAATTTCTTTTTAATAAAACTGATATATATTTCTATATATATATATAATATATATATATATTTTATATATATAACTATATATATATATATATATATATATATATATATATATATATATATCAGCATATATATATATGCTATTGTGATAGCTGAGTCATAGACATGATTTCAGTTGACACTTTTGTTTGATAATCGTTTTTGACCATTTTGGGAAATGTATGACACCTAATTCAATATTTTTTCCCCTTCCTATTTATGCTACGATGCAGAGACTTGGACCAGATAAACCCCTTTTCCCAAACCCCAGTATAAATTTTACTATACAGTTAGTCGCATACAAACGTTTGTCCGCTTTCGACAAGTAGTTAAGATCGATCGTTCAAATAAGTATTCTTATCTTCAAAGGGAAAAGTATCTACATAATGGTATAGTATATAAGGCTCGTCTTTCCTCACGTGCATTACGGGCTCACTATAGCCTGTGCTACATGGACATCTCGTTCAGAGTAGCTAAATCTAAAACAACTCAGCAAGTGCAAGGCTGCCGTTGGTAGAGGCGGCGGTGGTGAGGGCGCCACCCGCCCGTGTTTCACCAGTTGTCTCCACCCTCTTGATGCGTCAGTTTGTGTCCTTACCCCGTGCTAAAAGTGTATTCTTACATATACAAGCATTTTCAAGTAAGTCCTTGGGGTTTTCTTTTTATTGTTACTTTCAAGCAAGTTTTCGTTTAGTAACAGAATTTTAAGTAATCCAAAGAAATACACTTTGCTATTGGGTTTATCATGCTGTTGACTTGCAGTGGCTATTTTTGCAATTTTACGTTATTCTATATCAACCACGGAACTTCACAGATTCAGCAAGATCTTGCGTGTCCACTGAATATTTGTCTGGTTTGTTGGTGGTAAACCTCGAAAGCTAACGCCTCCATGACATTGTACCTTCCAACGGCAGGTGCTGCTTTCAAGCTGGATAGTCTTGCATTTATGAGGCTTAATGTCTTGCATTGCTTCACCCCACCTGGGCAGTGCAGTGCCCCACATGCTTCACCCCACCTGGGCAGTGCCCAGTGCCCCACATGCTTCACCCCACCTGGGCAGTGCCCCACATGCTTCACCCCACCTGGGCAGTGCCCCACATGCTTCACACCACCTGGGCAGTGCCCAGTGCCCCACATGCTTCACCCCACCTGGGCAGTGCCCAGTGCCCCACATGCTTCACCCCACCTGGGCAGTGCCCCACATGCTTCACCCCACCTGGGCAGTGCTTCACCCCACCCCACATGCTTCACCCCACCTGGGCAGTGCCCCCACATGCTTCACCCCACCTGGGCAGTGCCCCACATGCTTCACCCCACCTGGGCAGTGCCCCACATGCTTCACCCCACCTGGGCAGTGCCCCACATGCTTCACCCCACCTGGGCAGTGCCCCACATGCTTCACCCCACCTGGGCAGTGCCCCACATGCTTCACCCCACCTGGGCAGTGCCTAGTGCTCCACATGCTTCACCCCACCTGGGCAGTGCCCAGTGCTCCACATGCTTCACCCCACCTGGGCAGTGCCTAGTGCTCCACATGCTTCACCCCACCTGGGCAGTGCCTAGTGCCCCACATGCTTCATCCCACCTGGGCAGTGCCCAGTGCCCCACATGCTTCACCCCACCTGGGCAGTGCCTAGTGCCCCACATGCTTCACCCCACCTGGGCAGTGCCTAGTGCTCCACATGCTTCACCCCACCTGGGCAGTGCCTAGTGCCCCACATGCTTCACCCCACCTGGGCAGTGCCCAGTGCCCCACATGCTTCACCCCACCTGGGCAGTGCCTAGTGCCCCACATGCTTCACTCCACCTGGGCAGTGCCCAGTGCCCCACATGCTTCACCCCACCAGGTTAACTTCCTGCCTTATTTTGATAATTACTTGCTTACATTTAATGACCAGATAATCAATCACTACACATTTAGATAAATCTCGTTCTGTCAGGGACAGACAGTCTGTGTGTATGTGTTATGTTGACTAGACCACACACTAGAAGTTGAAGGGACGACGACGTTTCGGTCCGTCCTGGACCATTCTCAAGTCGATTGTGATGAGGACAGGTAGGGACAGGCAATAAATAGGCAAGAGAGAGCTGAGGAGGAAAGTAAGGTGTAGGGGATAGTAGTAATAATGAGAACTGCAGAAGGCCTATTGGCCCATACGAGGCAGCTCCTATTATAACCACCGAAGGAGATAGTAATAGGAATAAGAAGAGGATAGCAAGGGAGCGTAGGAGAAGACAATGCACAGAAAAAATGGTAGATTCTAAGGGTAGAGGCCAAGATTCTAAACACTTTTTCTGTGCAGCGATCAGGTTGTTTATAATTGCTATCATGAGGTTCTTGATGTCGATCTTGCAGAAGTTTTCAAGTGCTTGAAGAGCATACTTTGAGATATTATTCCCCTCCTGTGTTTTTAATGTATTGGTAGTGCTGCTAGTCGTGTTTGTGTAGAGTTCCGCCAGTTTAAACTGACACTGATAGTCTGTGTGCAAGTATTGTTTCTATAAACCTACATGCTGCTGCTACAATCCGTCCTACTGATGATTGGACTGAGCCGTCGGTGTACACACAGTGCTCGCGAGATCTTGGGTTTTGGATAGAGGAGGGAATTGTTTCAAGTGTGACAGCTTTGAGAAGAGCAAGATTCTTATTACCTTTCTTGGTGATGGGTGTGTATGATACTTGTATGGTGGAGTACATATATAGGCATATCAATGACAGGTAGATTACATTTGAAAGGAATGTTCAGTTTGATTGTAGCCATTTTTACTCTGCCATTTATTATACTCCCTTTTGCCCCCTTACTAAATCGCCCTCTCACCAGGATTTTCATCTCGTCGCCAATACCAGTTGCGTTTGTAAGTTCCTCGACTGCATTGATACCTCCGTTCGATGATAACTTTAATGAAAGTATAATTTTAAAATAAACTAAGATTGTTCACTTAGGCACTAGGAGACTGGAACCGCCGCCCCCTCGGAAGGCGGCAGAAGCTTTTCCCCTGAGCTATCTGAGAGGACCAATAGGACAGATGTCAGAGGCAGCAAACTACTGCCCAACTGAAATTTTATAATTTCCTCGCCTTCCACTTCCAGGATAGTGTGGTTGACAATTTATTAACATAGGCATCGATCACTAATTCCTACGTACTTAAGAGGGAGGAGGGGAAAATATAAAATTTCAGTTGGGCAGTGGTTTGCTGCCTCTGAAACCTTTCCTATTGGTCCTCTCAGATAACTCAGTGGAGGAGGTTCTGCCTCACACTGTGGGGGCGGCGGTTCTGAGTGTTGAGGCTGTGAGTGTGTAACACCGGAGTCGTGTACCCGTGGTAACAACGGCCTGGCTAGGTAATC